GATTTGAACAAACCAACCTTTTTAGGAAAAGGTCTGCTTTGGGTAAAAATTGATGTAGGTACAGGAAGGTTCTGAATTCATGGTAAAGGGTACATTTTTCAGAAAAAGAACCCTCACTTTGTAAGCCATGGCCGGTAAGTTTTAAGTCGAATTTTTCAGTTGCAACTGACTGTGCAATTTTACATGGTCAACTCATACCAGTTTGCCTTCTTATCTTAATCCAGTAGAAGAAGGCCTTGATTACGTAAGACACAGATTTCAGGCCTGTAGCTGTGCAATGGGGGAGGAAGGGGGTTCGTTAATTTTTGGAGCTTTTACCAAGAAACCGCCAATGTACCTAGATCAAATTTTTGTTTAGAGGGAAACTTTTTCCATCAAGAAGGGCAGTTTGTTTTGACCCCCCCCCCCCCCCCCCGGCTATGGGCCTGGGTTTACATGTATCTTAATTTCATGAAATTGGTGCCTAGAATTGATTTCTTTTAACTAGATTGATAAACTGTTGAACCTGGGTGGTAATTAAACTCAGGCATTAATGACATTAATTTGGATCCTGTTCATCTCTTTTCTCTATTGCACTGTAATTTTTCTGAATTCTTGCTATCACTTTAAGGTCAATAAAACTGTAAGGTACTTGTGAGTACGGCAGCAAGCATACTTCATGATATCCTGTTTCAACAAAGATGAACTCTTTCTTGATATCATGCACATGCAATAACCCTGTCATCAAATGCCCTGCCCTGTGTGTTTACAAAGCCTGTGACATGCCATTTATAATATTAATCAATCTGCGATGGGCTATGGTACATGATGAATTAATATGTCAGGTCCATCAGGGCTGAGCCACTGTAGGAGATACCCGTATAAAGGAGGTGAATGATTTATTGACCTGTGATCTAGATTTTTCATTCTACCATCTGGTGTCAACCTTAGGTCCTATGGCATTTAATCACAGAGGGCTGTTTGCCATATAAGTAACTTATCATCTCTGTAATTCCATTAAAATTTATTTAAATCAAATTTGTTCCTGCACAATGCTTCTCAAGTCAATGACCCCATGGCATGAATTTGGAAACTGGAAAGGATGGTGTGGCATAATGCTGTGCAGGTGCATGATTGATTGCAATCAAGACATAAAATCACACTAAAAAAAGAGGACCAATTCATTTAATTGTCATGAAAAATTGTAAGGACTGATATTAAGTATATTTAAATCTTTGTTGTTTTATTTTTTTCTGAAACAAGTGAGCGAATATATATGTATGCTCCTTCCTAAGCCCCTATCTATCATTTACCACACTGTTGAAGGTACTGAAGCATTGTGTCATGCACGCATACTTTCATTGTCCTTAGCACTCACAGTGTGCAGTGAATTTATAACAATCCTCAAGGTTGAGTGCAGCCTGTGAGTCAAACAATATAAAGTCATGCAATTTGAAATGCAAATTTCGTCACTTGTAAATGGTCTCAGGTCTCGTAGAGACTATTTGTTTACAGATAGCTTTGTACAATCAGCTTGATTATCCTCAGTTTCAGAGGTCATTGGTATATTCATGAGGTAGTGTCCAGAGACTTCTGAAACTCAGAGTAGATAACATAACCTGACCAACCAAGATGTCTCCATTGCATATCTGGCAAAATTCCCTCATTTATTTACATGTCATGTACCACCTTGGAATGTCAATGCCATTTAGGGCTGATTTCTTATAAAACTATTGCTCTATGACGATTAATTGTTCCATCTCTGTGGGGACTCATGCTGAATGCAATCAGATTATGAGATTAACAAGCCTCCTCCTGGCACTGAGTAGCAGAAAAACTGGGTAGATAAAAGAGGGTAGGGAATACCCACCCTTAATCGCCAATCACCAAGATTAAAACAGCTCAGTCACCAATCACCAAGATATATTTAGGCCAATCACCAAGAATACCTGAATCACATTTCACGCAGAATATTTGGCTCAAATAACGCATCACACTTGAAAAATAAGGCCAATCATGCTGAATGCAAAGGTATTCTCTACAGTTATGAAATAACCTGAACAACCAAGATGTCTCCATTGCATATCTGTCACCCCTCAGTTGTCACGTACCACTTAAATTGGAATAAATGCTATTTAGGGCTAATTTCCAATGAAACTATTGGTCTATGTAGATCGATCCAACTCTGTGGGGACTCTTGCTGTATGCAGTCAGGTTAAGAGATTAACATGCCTCCTCCTGGCATTGAGTAGCAGAAAAGCTGGTGGTTATACAAGAACATTGGAAATGGGGGGGGGGTTAATCTGTTAAGCCGATTGTATGCAGGGAGACTCTCATTGGAGTTGGATTGATTTACAGCATATAAGACTAATAGTTTCATTGGGAATCAGCTGTAAAATCCCCTTTCCTTAAGTTTTATTTGCACAGAAACCACAATACTATGCCACTTGTATTATTTATGAACAAAAATTAATTTCCAGGAAAATATATGTTTAAAATTTCAGATGTGTCTCCAGGTTCAGCCAATAAAGAAGATGCCAATGGTTTGACGCACAGACATCCAGCACGTCTGCCGTCCACCAGCTCACAACTTGGACTGGCCACAAGTGACCAGCTGGCCGCAGCAGGGGATGGTCCAGAAAAAGTTGAACTGAAGAAAACCATGGGTTTAGTCAGTGGGATAGCACTTATTGTAGGGACTATGATTGGTAAGAATGTATACATATTTCACTAACCATGCTTACAAAACTTTGCCCAGAGAGTCATATCATATTCCCTTCATAAGATGAACATTATATCTGGATATTTTTGATGATAGCTGTATGGATGCTCAACAAAATGTTGAAGGTTTCATTGGTTCATTTGTCAGGGTGTGTGAATAATCAAGCCTTGAAAATGGAATATTTTTAATGTACCCAGAATATTTGATAAGTCAAAAAGAAACAATAAGCATGTTTATTCCTGCCAGAATGCTTCCTTATTTGGTAAAAATTAATGTTAATGACATTATTCGCTAGTCTTGTAAGCTAGAATTGGAAAAATAAATGCTTTTAATAATCAAGTCAATGGGATAGACTTCTTGTTTTCAGGGAATGTCATTGAATGTCTATGAGAGACCATTAAAGGATTACACAGTTTTCCTTTCATGTAGGTCTGCCATATTTAGAACTTGGCTCTTCTTGATGTGAATGCTCTCTATGTCACTTTTCAGGTTTCAGATATGTCTCATTGGAGAGAAAGGGGGAGGGGGGGGGGGAGTTGAAATTTGTCTGCATTGGTTTTGCTCAGTTTCCCACATGTATAATAGTATAATATTATCAAATGTTTAATATTTTCAAAATAGATCAAATTTTATTTGACATGTTCCTGTTGGTTGTTTGCAGGTTCGGGGATATTCATCTCACCAGGGGGCGTTATAAGCAGCACAGGCTCTATTGGTCTGGCACTGGTAGTGTGGGCAGGGTGCGGCATTCTGGCTATTCTAGGTATGGAATTGTATTTAAAAGGCTGTGTAATAGAATTTATTTTTTCTAGAGAGTTTCTGCTCTGATGTTTTTTTTTTTTAATTTATTTTTCGGGCAGTGTGCATTGACTTATACCTTCTGCTGAATTGTAATCGCATTCTTTTTTGCACACTTGGAGAATTACATTCAGAATTGCTATCATTTTGTTTTCTTATACACTTTTTATCCAATAACAGTAATTGTATGTTATTTGAAACTTATTAAATTACCTTGATTTTGTTTACATATATGTATATATTATTTTTATATTTTTATGTATATATATTATTTTTTATAAAAATGTACTGGTACTACTTGAACATTTGAATAGTATTTTACGTAAAATAACATGAACATTTCTTAAACTTTTTTTTTTTTTTTTTTTTTGAGATACATATGTATATAGCAATTTTATTGTTTGATACCCAGTAAATTGGGACAAATTATTTGAATAGAGAATTTAAATTCGCCATTTTTTGCTTTGGGTTATTGTAATTTTGCTTTATAGAAAGCATTTCAGTCTATAAATTAAAAAATATATATATTATGTCTAACTGCTTTATATGCTAATAGTACTAGTGGAGCCTTTTACTCATATAAATTAAAATCATGTGCTACAGTAGTCATACTTATTTATTTTTATTTTAAGATGGAAGACATATGATGTACACTAGATCTTTATATAGCAATGAAAAAAATAAATAATATTATTATTTAACTTTAATCTTCTCTTTATCATCAAGGTATGGTGGTGCCCTATCCATAACTGTTAAAAAAAATTGATCTGTCAATCCATTGTGAAATACACCAGTGTCTATCAGCATTACTCAAAAACTGAAAACTAGAGCCTGAAAAACAAATTTTATCAATTACAGTTTTACGAATGGTATTTGATATTGCATACCTTGGTGATTGTAAGGGAAAATAGTTGATACTTTGAGGAAAAAACTTTATTTATATAAAGATCTAACACTCATTGACAATACAGAAAGTTACAAGACAGTGTTTATTTTTTGTGAAATTTTCTTCCTTTTTATTTGAAATAATTCCATATACTGGCAAATATGAAATTAAATGTATCGTAAAAAAAAACTTTTATTTAATACAAGATAATGTCTTGATACTTTCAGTTGTAAAGGTCACTAAAAATGCTTCCAGATGATAAACTAACCAAAGCCAACAAATTGCCATTGATTTTAGGTTCCTTGTGCTATGCTGAGCTAGGGACGGCACTAACAAAATCAGGCGGAGAATATGCATACCTTTACGAAGCTTTCGGACCTATCCCAGCATACCTCTTTGCATGGCTGTCAGTGGCAGTGATAAAAACCTCCTCACTCTCTATCATTATGTTAGCATTTGGACAATACTTATCTGTTGTCATATACGATGGCTGTGGCCCACCTCCTTCTATTCCCAAAATGATTGCTGCAGCTGCTATTTGTAAGTACAGTGACCTTAATTAACATTGTGTGCGTGCATATGCTTTAGAATAAAATCATTCAATCCTAGGATCCACCAAACAATATACGAATACATGTATACAATGCAGAGTATATATTTGGTGGGTCTTATTCGTAGCTAGAATCAAAGTTGCATGGGCATTTTCAATCACTGGAATAGATAATGTAAAATAAATCATTGCTATTCAGTTATACATGTATGACATGCTTATACATGTAGCTATAAGGTCCTAACTGAGGTATATATAACCTTTGTTTCAAATGCTCCATATTTACCTGCAGACATAGATATTGGTGAAAAGTCTGAAAAGTTTAACAGTTTAGTCTAATATTAGATAGCTACTGCAAATCACAGTGCATGTTGGCTCTTCTTTGCTTGTAAGATTCTTTCTCATTCAGTCACAATAGAACTCTTGGTCTAGCTTGTAAGACTGTCTCTGATTCAGTCACAACCTTGCATCCCTTTTAAAATTTTCCTCCATCTGAATAAACTCGGACATATTTTTCCATTTACTGCACTTTAGCAGGGTGCCTTAAATTTAGCTTAGCAATGTGAAAATTTCAAAAAAGGGTTATAGCTTTTTTCTGAAAAAGTGGACCTCCCTGCCCCACCCCTTGGTTGACTTCAAACTGGAAAAATGGCATAAAATCTTCATCAAATGTTGATTGGCTCTTACCAGCCAAAAATGCTGTTAAATTAAATTCTTTAGTCTCACTCCTGCATGAATACAGGCCCTGGCATGATTGGCAGCTCCCCCCCCCCCCCCCCCCTTCAATCATACACAAAATTTCTGAGAATTGGAACTTCTTTTTTCTAATGAATTGACCAAAAAATCTCTTTATTAACTTTGACATCTTTAGGTTTGCAGGATTTTAAGGATTTCATGCTTTATTATCTGCATTTTTTAAGCTTGGTTAGTCTGATTTTCTAGCTGCATTTTGGCATTTCTTTTACTTAAGACTGCTTTTCTCTAGGATCTTTGTGTTACGCTGAGCTGGGGACCGAAATACCAAAGTCTGGTGGCGAGTACATTTATCTAGGCAGTGCGTTCGGTCCTGTCCCAGCATTTCTCCATGCATGGCTATCAATTGTTGTTGTTCGTCCTTCCTCTATGGCTATAATATGCCTTGCCTTTGCACACTACACTATGGCACCTGTCTATGACAACTGCGGGCCTCCTCAATCAGTGCTGAAACTAACTGCAGTATTAGCTATATGTAAGTATGCTAGGTTAAGTTGGAAAAAATAGCAAATTTGCTTTATAAATGGGTTTTTGGGGCATAAAAACAACAGTATTCAGGTATTTTGTGTGGTCTGTTGTATTTTTCCCACTATAACCAAACCAACACCCAATGTATCTTTTCCATTAAAAAGAATAGGTGCAAAAAGAATTCAGGATTTCCACAAAATTAGGGTGGCAGTCACAATTTTGTCTGGCCTAACTTATAGCCTCTGCACCCCAGAATGACAATCATTTAGGACAAAATTAGTTGACTTTTTAAATTATTTTCACTCATAAATTACTGGTATATATGCATGTGCACATGTATATGATGATCTTGGTTCAAAATATTAAAGCAGCACTTGTCCAAATTTTCCTCCACAGGAGCACTGTGTTGCACTGAGCTTGGAACTGCTATCCCAAAGTCTGGGAGTACATATGCATATTTTTATGAGGCTTATGGTCCAGTTCCGGCATTTCTTTTTGTCTGGATCACAATGCTTGTTCAACAACCATCATCATTGGCAATTATTACCCTTGCATTTGCGAGGTACACACTGACCCCTGTCTATGGGAACTGTGGGCCTCCACAGGCAATTCTGAAATTGACGGCCTCTGCTGCTTTGTGTAAGTATAAGGGACCATTCCCAGACCCTATCATACCAACTGTGGATTGATTCCTTTCCAAGGGGATTCTCGCTAAATTGCAATCAACTTTATTGGTTTAGATGTCTGTCACACCTACTGAAGCTGCTAGGAGGTAATTAAGTGTTGTTTAGCAGCTTCTGTAGGCATGCCAGACTTCTAAGCCGTCAAGCTATTCAGTTGTTTTGCTATAAATATATTTAATCAAAAACAGTTACAAACCAGGAAGATAGATATAATGAATGGGTTTGAAGTCTCACAAGCAATTTGATTGTTTCAGCAATAAACTTGAAACACATCTTGTGGGGATAATCAAAAACACATACTGACAGTCAGAAACAAGGAATTTAAATATTGGTCATCTGGTGGGCTTGAAAATATACAAGCAAGCACTTGTAGAAAGTTAGAAACTGAGAAAATAGTTGTAAATGCAGATGATATATGTACAGTACATGTACCAAGTGCATTTGTGTCAGTACGTGTATGTAGATCTTATTTAAAGAAGATAATCATTAAAGGACAGATTTCAGATTGCACGTGTAATTAATGATTTGGGTTCTCGAAGAAACTGTGACAAAAAATGATAATATAGTAATTAAGATAATTAAAATTCATTGTTCAACATATGCACCAGGTATATTAAGTATTTCCAATGTAGATTTAATTAGGGCACTGAAAGAGATTGCATGAACCCTATATCACTACAGAAAACAATGGTGATCTTTACTGTTTAATGCATCCTGTTTATGATGTCAGATTACACCAGATGATCACTACAGGAATATGCTGAAGCAATGCCACCAGCATCACTGGGTTAACATTTCAGGGGCAGATTTAGGCCATCTTCTGGGTCTTCTGGAAGATGGTCATGCAGATTTTCAAGTTTACATTGTCAGACATCTAATGTTTTCTGTCGGAAGACGGTCAAAAATGGAAGATGGATCAAAAAGATAATTTGAAAGACTGTCAGAAAATATCTCTGGATCCATGCACCCTGCATCTGTAGAAGCTATTGCATTATTGCCTTTCTGTATCTGTTGTTTATTGATTACCAACATGCTTTCAAGTGCGTGCCAGGTTTTATCAGTTAGGCTTCATTCACATGCAATGTCTATTTTCTAAATTCTATTTTCTATTTGCGGTATGTCTTATGATCACGGTCTGTGCCCTGAATATCCCGCGGCGCAATTACTGGCAGCGTGAGCCAGTTACTATAAGTTACTACAATGTATAAGTAACTGGCTCGCGCTGCCAGTAATTATGCGGCGGGATATTCTAGGCACATGCAGACCGTGATCATAAGACATACAGCAAATAGAAAATAGAATTTAGAAAATAGACATTGCATGTGAATGAAGCCTTAGTCCTTGGATCAACTTGGGAGAAAAATACTCCCTTGGATTTTCTATAAAGACTTCCATATGGCAGAGTTGTCTTCTCCAGCATTTACTCAGTACTGACAGGTCCTACATATGACAGATTTAACTTTTCAGGAAAGGGATCAGACTTGAGCACTTAATTTTCTCTTTGCCCCCCTTGATCCACCATAAATCTTCATAGTGACTGGTAATTGAATTTATATAATCAATGATAATCAGAGAACATATCAGTATTTGTCATTTAAACTTTGTATAAATCAGTATGGGGCAGTTCCCTAATTGCTAGAGAATGCAGAATTTAAGGCAAAAACTAGTGCACACTTCTTTAATTTAAACATTGCATGATGCTTGAAAATGTATGAAATATCAATTATCATTTTAATATTGAGAAGAATTTCTCTTAAATGACAGCATGATAAAAAATTGTGGTGTGGTTGGTGCATGATTTTAAAAGCGCATTAATATACCCATCTTGATTATATATGGATCTCGGAATGACAATCATTTAGGACAAAAAGAGTTGGTTTTTAAAAGTAATTATTTTTCACATATTTAAACATTTATGATCTAGATTCAATATATTAATTAAAGCAGCACTTGTACAAATTTCCTTGACAGGAGCACTGTGTTGCACTGAGCTTGGGACAGCCATTCCTAAGTCTGGGAGTATGTATGCATATTATTTTGAGGCTTATGGTCCAGTTCCGGCATTTCTTTTTGTGTGGACCACATTGCTCGCAAAAAAACCATCGTCAATGGCAATTATTACCCTTGCATTTGCGAGGTATACACTGACCCCTGTCTATGGGAACTGTGGGCCCCCACAGGCGATTCTGAAATTGACAGCCTTTGCTGCTTTGAGTAAGTATCAGGGACCATTCCCAGACCCTATCGTACTAACTGTGGATTGACCTATCTCCAAGGAGATTCTCGCCAAGTTACAATCAATTTAAACAGCTGTCTGTCATGCCTACTGGAGCTGCTAGGAGATAATTAACTATTGTTTTGCAGCTGCAGTAGGTGTGCCAGACATCTGAAAGCAATTTAGCCAGAAACCCCTCTGAAAGGGATCAATCCTGTTTGATCGATCTAGGTATGGGAACCCAGTCTTAGTATTTATATAAATATATCAAAGGCAGATTTGATGAGGGGAATTTTTTTAGGAAGGAAAAAGAACTGGATAAATAATAATGGAGCTGGTACCGGATCTAAAGCTCTGTGAATTTTTTTTCTTAGCAATAAAGCTGAATATTTCTTTTTCTCCTGTGCATTAATTGTTTCTTATGATTCACCCTGGAAGTCAGGTGTCCACAAGTACTGTCTTTGATTTCTTATTCTTTGTTGTTAATGGTAATTGCCATGTACAATGGAAAAATCTTATGACAGGGTATTTCATAATAATGAAATTTTCTTAAGAGTTCTCTGCGTTTAGAGTGTATTTTTTTTTTTAGAGTGTATTTTAGAGTGTATGTTAGTTGTGTACTTGCTTAGTGCTGATTAAATGAACTCGATAAAAACATCAAGCAATTTACACAATGTTTCATGCTTGGAATAAGGACATACTGGTATTTAAAAAAAGTGCAGAATAATTTAAGGGTTAGAAACCAGGAAGATAAATATGACAGCTGGACTTTAAACTACTTTGCAATGAACATACGTAATCAAAAACAGCTAGAAACCAGGAAGATAGATATATGGGTTAAAATTCACACAAGCAATTCAATTGTTTCAGCATTAACTAAGCACAAAACAAATCTTGTAGGGATAATTAAAAACAGTCAGATAAAAAAGGAAATTAAATATCGTAAATGGGCTTTAAACTACCATGTATACAAGCAAGAGCATGCAGAGAGTAAAAAATGAGAAAATAATGGTATATCTAGATGATACATGTAACAAGTGGATTTGTATCAGTGTATGTAGATTTTATTTAAAGGAGATGATCATTAAATGACAGATTTCATATTGCATGTGTAATTTAAATGATTTGGGTTAATTGAAGAAACTGTGAAAAAACCTATAATATTAAGACAATAGATTCATTGTAGAACATACATGTCAGGTATGTCCTTAAGTATTTCCAGTTAAGGTACGAAAGCGATTGCACGAATCATTCATCACTACGGAAAACAATGGTGATCTTTACTGTTTAATATATGCTGTTGTTAATGATATCAGATTACACCAGATGATCACAAAAGGCATGCTGAAGCAATGCCACCAGCATCACAGGGTTTATCTATAGAAGCTTTTGCATTATTGTTTTTCTATATCTGTTGTTTATCTTTCCTGCATTTTACAAATGGGTAAATAACATGTTCCTCAACAAATGTTTGTCTCTTTCTTCCATGTAAAGAACACATGTTTTAAGGATTTCCCCAAAAAATATCCAGATTTAATGTAAACTTTCTGATATTTTATCCTAAAATTAAATTTTCTTATTGTGACAAAATTAGTTTTTTAAACAAAAAAGCATCATTTATGTCAATATAAAGATTATGATATTTATGGTCAGTGAATTATTACAGTATTATTAAATTATATGTCTTTCCATTGCGTATGTCTGCAGTGGTTATTATGGGCATCAACTGTTACTCCGTTAAGCTGGCGACAAGGGTTCAGAACTTCTTTGCTTTTGCGAAACTGGCTGCAATTGGACTGATTATTGTTGGCGGAATAGTTAAACTTATACAAGGTGAGCAGGTAATAATTATGTATTATGTCATGAACAATTATTTAATTTACAGATTGTCACTGCAATGTTTAAAACTGCCATCTTAAGGTTATGATAAACAATCATGACTCTGAAATATTGTGTAAAAGAAATCTTTACTTGAAGCTGTACTACGTATAAATGTTCTTTTGACAAATTTTTCATCTTTACAATATTGTTAGTTGATTACATAAAAATGGTGTTAAACCTGTATTAATCTATTGTGTAATTAAGTCTTAAAAATGGAAAAAAAGCAAATTATTGCAGTTTGTCAGATTTAATCATTTACTATGTTCAGAATCTCAAAATGGAGCAAATTGAACATTTAATATTGTTCTATATATACTTTCTACGTCTCAACAATTTTCTTAGTTGATCATTAAGAAAAGGTTAGGAAATTAATTGTTTTATGTAAAAAAAGTGTTAAAATGGAAATAAACCCATTTCAGTTTCACATTTTCTCAGATTCAATTCTTAGGTATGTTAACAGTCTTCAAAATGATGGCCCTGTGAGTTTCATGACAACAGGCCTATCGGTTTTCCTTGAAATGTGTTTACAGTGTTGCATATATGCTGAAAAGTGAAAAAACAGCATAACTTCTACAATAATGGCCCGATCATGCTGATTTTCGAACCTGACCTGCATTTTATGAATATTCATCAGCTCTGTATATAATCAGCCAAAAAGTAAAACTGCCTTCCATTTATCGTGTTTACAATGAAAGTGCACGGCGCCGTTTAACATAATGTTCTTTTGCATCAGAATTGACAGTAGCCTATTTTGTGCATAGTTATTTCCTGTTTTTTGTCTGTACATTTGACAGCTTTGCTGCCTTGTTACATTATGTGCTGGGTTGTTACTGATTACAGTACTTTATAAAGAGAAATAGAAAAAATATATTGGTTTGCTTACATGGACAGAAAAAAAGAAAAGTTAATTATCTTTTTTTTAATTCAAAAATAAAAAACTTAAACTTTAACAAAATGAAAATATAGGACTGGATGACTGATTTATTACTGAAAATTAAAGAATATTGATATTACAGTTAAGAAAATGAACATGAAGGCAAAATTGTTATACATATATCCGGTCCATTAATATTTATCTTAATATAATTATTTACTTCTTTTATATCCAGGTAATATCCAACACCTTGGCAATGGGTTTGAAGGCACCTCTAACAATGTGGCTGGAATAGCACTGGCATTCTATGATGGGCTGTGGGCTTATGACGGCTGGTGAGGAACATGTAGCTAACAATTGTGTTTATATGATCCACTGTTATATGTGCATATAGTGGTCATGCAGGCCTTTCTGAAACTGAAGTTCTGAATCTTTTGATGCTCCTTTCTTGAGCCTCTGAATCACAACTGTTAACGGTAGTTTTTGTACTTTAAAAATGGCACAGCCGGATCTGCCACACTGAAAACATGATATTCAGTATGCTGAGCAGAGAAGATGGAGTCTCTGTCAACTTGACACTACCTTAAATGGGTTGATTAATTTTTTAATGATTTCAGCATAAGTAGAACAGGGATCAATATCTAAAAATATACAGAAGAAGCTTAGACCCAAAGTGTTGGCAGCTCGATATGCACTTCTGTGAAATTCATACAAATTCATCATTTGTCAAAATTTTAAATTTGCAACATTGAAAAAAAAAATTGTTTTCAGTTAAAGACTATCATGAATGGTTGGCTTGTTTATTGTAGGAACAACTTGAATTATGCTACAGAAGAGTTGCAGAACCCAACAGTGTAAGTGTAATTGTTTGACAACTTTTGTATTCTTGAATGTGACTTTCCATATAAATGTTTGATCAATTTACTTAGTTTAAATTTTCATTGGTAAATCACCACAAAAATTGTTACTTGCTTTTTTACATGTTTGAACCCAACAGTAGAAGTAGCTGATGGGCCCTTAAAACAAACTGCTCAAAGTACCAGTAATTGTTCAGGGGAAGATGGAGGCCATCTTCTGGGTCTTCCAGAAGACAGTCAGAAATTTTCAAGTTTACATTGAAAGTTATTTAATTTTTCTGTCGTAAGACGGTTGAAAAAGGAGGACGGATCAACAAAGATCATTTGGAAGACTGTCAGAAAATAAATCTGGATTGATCTGCCCCTGTTGTTGACACTTTTCATGTTTTTTCTTATTTCAGAAATCTTCCTCGTGCCATTCTGATTGGCTTGCCGCTGGTTATGATATGCTATATCCTTGTTAATATTTCCTACTTGAGCGTCATGTCTGCTGCAGAAATTATTGCATCACCTGCTGTGGCTGTTGTAAGTATGGCCATGAGAAACAATGGTTTTTGAGTAATTTTGACTTCTCTTTTTTACATCTTTTATTACATATACCAGATAAAAAATACACCACTACAACAGACTTTGTTGAAGTATATAATGTTGGAAGACTAATTAAGATTGGAATATCTATATCAGTATGTTTGACACAATCAGATGACCAACAAAATGGATTTTCCAAGTTTGTTGACTATTTCTACTTTTTTTCTATAAATTACAGAAGCACAATTAACTAGACTATGTGCAACATTGATTCTTAATTAGGATTTAGGATGTGGAAGATTTTCATTCACTCTTATCAAATGTTCATGCCATTTTAGTTTAACAGTTTTGTGCTGCGTACAGCTTCTTAGCTGATTATGATAGAGAACATGTTTACTGTAAGCTATGTAATAAAGGTTTTAAATCTTCATTTTACAATATTACAATAGTCCCAGATATAATAGTACTTCAGCTTCTTTGCTGATTAAGATATATATTTACTGTAAAGTTTGTAATAATTCATTTTACAGTCTTTTATCTTATATATTATTTCAGACATGGGCAGATAGAGTGATAGGCCCAGCAGCCATTATTATTCCTATCTCTGTGGCAATGTCTACATTCGGTGCTGCTAATGGCACAGCCTTCACAGGTGGCAGGTGGGTCATTTTTTCCTTCTTCTTTTTTTATTTTGTCAAAGCACCACATGCACGTCATTCATTGGCACTAAATCAAACATAACATCATTATTGGCAGCATGAATTATCAGTTTTCCTGTATTAAAGTATGACTTGAATATAGAAATTAAACTTTTGATTCAGTTTTTTTTTTTTTTTTTTTTTGTGCATGTGTGTGTGTGTGGCGTGTGTGTGTGTGTGAGGCTTTGACACTTATTTATTGTTGTTTGATGTGAATTATATTCCAGAATTTTTCCGTTGTCATTTTGAATTGACAGGCCCCTATTTTGTGGTATAGCCAAATTAAAGGTCACAAAATAATAAGAGTCATTTATTTATTCTGTTTTCCAGCTTTGGTTTGTGGTAGTGACAGATCCACGATTCATCAGATTCTGCCAGAACCTCATAAGATTTCCATTTTTCTGTTCCCAGGCTTTGTTTTGTGGCAGCCAGAGAAGGCCATCTTATGAGTATTCTGTCCATGGTTCATGTCAAGAAGTACACACCTCTCCCGTCCATGATCTTTACTGTAAGTATAAATATTCTATCAGGGGGGAGAGGGGGGTTGAAAAGAACTGCCCCTTTTGCTGGGAAAATGTCCAGTCTGGGTAAATTAGATCAATGTAGGTACGTGAAGTTTTTGTGGTAAAAGGTCCCCTTTTTTAGAAAAAGACTCTCCCCCCCCCCCTTTGGAATTGCTGGCTACTGGTCCGTCTATCATAGGATGCATATGACAATGGACAAAATAATAGATAAATAATAAATAATAGACTTCTGAAACCTTCATTGAACTGTGATGGTATGGAACGAAGCAAGGTTAGCTAGTATTGATACACCTTGTTTGAATCCATTATATATGCATTCTCTTCATTGTATTTACAATAAATTCCTAAATTTTGAAAACACTTTATTAAATTTTGTCGTTTAAAAAAAATGATACTTAGGTTTGGAATAAGCCATATTAAATTTTGATATTAGAAAATGATACTTAGGTATGGAATGAGCCGTTTTGGGGGGATTGCCTTGCAGGACATTGGCATGCTATTTCAGTCTGTTGAATCATTTCCATTTTCAGGCCTGCATTGCCATTCTGATGATCATTCCAGGAGATATATCTGCTCTCATCGATTTCTTTAGTTTTACTGCCTGGTTGTTTTATGGTGCAACATTTGCTGCTCTTCTTGTCCTACGATTCAGACAGCCTGACCTGCCAAGGCCATACAAGGTATTCATTCATATCAGCAAATATTTTTTGGCAAAATGTCTTTCATACTTTTCTGCAAGTTCCTAAACATTATTATTATACTTCTTCATATCTTGCATTTCTGTTTCCAGTAACTGTGAATGTAGCCATCTACTCTTTTATTATTTATTTATTTATTTATTTATTTTTTCATAAAACATAAAATGATGACTATTTCCCGTATTTTCCACAGGTTCCAATAGTGATACCAATTTTCATGCTGCTTGCTTCCCTGTACCTAGTCATAGCTCCCATTGTGGACTCCCCTAAACTGGAGTACCTGTACGCAACCTTGTTTATTTTGGCCGGACTTATCTTTTATGTGCCTTTCATCCACTTTAAAATACACCCAAAGTTCATTGGTAAGTACATTTTTGGGTATTCACCATTAAAAAGTTGTTTAATTGTCTCTTTACAGTTCTATTTAGGCAGAGTCTTGATTCCAATGTCATCTCACAAAAATGGGCTATGTTCTGAATCTGTTAATTTTATAAATTTTAAAAAATAATCCACACTTTTGTACATTCTTCACTCATATATTTGATATTTTGATTATCTGTAAATTTCATTATAATTCATAATCAGTTTATGTATATATTTTGATAAAAAGAATTGATTTTAAATTACAGATCAGTGAATAATTCTCCAAATCAGATTTATAAAAAATAGATTGATTAATTATTAAATAAAAACAAATGAATTTTTTCCTACTTTCAGATAAAATCACAACAGCTCTTCAGTTGTTAATGGAAGTATCACCAACAGAGTATGAACCAGACAGTTAGACACTAGAAGATGGCGGATCTAGAGCATTTTATTGAAAAAAAGGTTTCTGATGACAATCAGACTGGTATATGAATATAAACAGTTTGAAAGAAATCAAGATGTTATTAATGAACATAAATTTAAGGAACAAGGACTTAAAGAAAATGATGTTAAAGCATCTTCAAGCCTCACCTGAGGAAAATACCAGCTGAGCTGCTATACAGAGACAATAACACAAACAACAAACATTTTAAACGAACATTTTTAAACGTGATTCGCAGTTCAGTGCAAATTTAGGGGGGGTCAGGGGGTCCCAACCCCACTTTGTTTCTGATTAAAAAATCACACAAATGGTCCCCTATTGAAATTAGAATTTTGACTAGCTGTAAATCATAGTTCTAAACCGTACCAAATGGCACTGTTCACCCTCTAAAATACCACATTTTTGGGGGCCTCATGCCCGGAGTGGGGGGGGGGGGGCGACCCCCCCCCCCCCCCNCAGGGGGTCCCAACCCCACTTTGTTTCTGATTAAAAAATCACACAAATGGTCCCCTATTGAAATTAGAATTTTGACTAGCTGTAAATCATAGTTCTAAACCGTACCAAATGGCACTGTTCACCCTCTAAAATACCACATTTTTGGGGGCCTCATGCCCGGAGTGGGGGGGGGGGGGGCGACCCCCCCCCCCTTCAAGTAATCCTGGATTCACTCCTGCCGATTGTGCTGTGACAGTTTTTCAAGGACGTTACTGACCCATCAGTTTGTTCTCTTCAGCTAGTAATCTGCAAAATGGATAATTATTTTAATGATGTCATCTTTTATGCAAAAGGAATTTGTACAGTCTTCCATTTAAGAAATCAAGCTTTGTCATTCATTTTAATATTGAATGTTGAGCTAATTTACGTATGTATACATCAATTTAGTGGAGCATAAAAATCTGAACTATGCAATACCTATAAAAATTTAGCAAAACTGTCAATTAGTAAAACACTGATAGTGCTTACTATCTTTCTCCATATTAACCTGATATTTTAAGAACTAGTCTACCACCAAGACTGAAATTGTCTGATTTCAAGTCGAAATATCATAACTTCATTTAATATTAATAGATTAAAGTTAAATGTTTATGTTTTACTGAATTACTTCATTACAGCAGTCAAACACTATTTCCGAATATTATATACCCGTGGACGGCGTATCAAAATCGCTTGGAGGAATTAGACGTATCCCCACATTTATGATGCGTCTCAGTTGAATATTTCTTCTTTTTAGTGCACGCTGTTATTCAGTCACAACGTAACTATATACATTGTACGACCTAAAGCTTACAAAACACAATAGAATGTTTCCATTAACTTTTAAAAAAATACATAATGCAGCAGTGACAGGAATTATATACATTCGGTAATAACACGTGTAGGCCCTAAATGAAGTCTGAGTTAACTTGCCGCCAAATTATTCAAGGGGGCACCTTCTGGATCTTTATACATACGGCACCTGACAAAGCTGATAGACAAGAAAGGCAAATTTTATATTTTCAGCGAGAGATCGTTCGCCAAAAAGACGAGAAGGTAATTTTCTTATCTGTTCAAGAGACTTCGTTAGCCGAAGATCGGGAGCAAGAGATAGTTGCCAACTGCATCGTTACCGATTATTTTAAACCCTCCCTCCCCAATGAAATTTATTATTTTTTAAATATTTTTATTTTATTTTATACTACCCTCACCCCCGCTCACAGCACTTGGAAAATTTCGACACCCTGAAATTTTGAAGGAAATTACAGATGGCAATTTTGAACGGCCTGTAGTATACCCTAATCCTGGAAAAAGCGTTGGCCCTGGGTGAAATAATACTAGTTTAGTAGAACTTAATTATATTGTGGGAATATTTTTAACTTTAAGTGATGGTTTAATTACTAGAGAAAACTAAGCTATTATATTTGGCACATATAATTTAAACTGCCCTTCATCTGTTGCGTAAGTCTAAATTTAGTTGTACTTGGGGAATTTTGAAAATCTGTGCGTACAATTTTAAAAGTTCTGGTTTCACCCCTGAATATAGGGGCCTAGGCTACTGTATATACACCTCATGCGTTTATTTTGGAGTTTATTGAAAAAAGAAGGAAATTTTATACCAAAATCTGTATTAAACGTTTATATAATTATTAAATATAAAAAAGACAACATTTAAGGTTTCAGATGAACTAAAATAATCTAGAAACGCATTATCTCAATGAATTGGAATGTGTCCTGTCCTGAAGATATTTTAGATAAATAGTATCGAATAATAGTATGTTACCCATTTTACCTGCATACATGTAATGTTTTGTCTCGTACGCTGTCTCGTATGTAGGTTTTATGACATTGTTTTCGTAAATAAGCGGAAAGAATCGGGTAGAATAATGCGACTTTGCTGTGTATCAGCAACAACTTTGTCATGGCTGCAACATGAAATTTACGTGCACATTAGCGACACTTCGCCTCAACGAAGCTGATCCAAATCACAGCCGCTGTGGACTGACACCCAGTGAAATCGCTGTATACAGTCCAGATCTACGCAACTAGTACTCACATTTAAACGTGCAAACTACATTATACATTAGAGGACACTCAGACTGAAGAGAGACCATCAGTGTTTCAATGTTGTAAAAAAATTCTTTCAAAATATTGCCGTGTTTGAAAAGCGTTTACACAGTTGCACACAGCGTGAAATGACTCACACTGGAAATAATCCATCATATGCTGACGTTGTGAAAAGTGATTTAATAAGATAAACAACTATTTACCACAGTAAAAGACCCACCTGACGAAAAACATGTAATTGTGACCTACACTAGAGAACAAAAATTCGAGTGGCAGTATTGTGAAAGAAGTTGTAGTGAGGAAAGTACATGTATGTGTATATGGCACATAATGGCCCACAGTGGGAAAAAACCTTTCAAATGCCAGTATTGTGAAAAGAGTTTTAAAAAGAAATGTAACTGTATAATACATGAAAGGACCCACACCGGAGAAAAACCATTCAAATGCCAGTATTGTGTAAAGTGTTTTAAACAGAAAAGTAAATGTATAAGACATGAATTGATCCACACTGGAGAAAAATCATTCAAATGCCAGTATTGTGAAAAGAGTTTTATCGTCAAAAATAAGCGTACACAACATGAAAGGACACATACTGGAGAAAAACCATTCAAATGTCAGTATTGTGAAAAGACTTTTACTGTCAAAGACAAGTGTGTTCACCATGAAAAGACCCACACTGGAGTAAAGCCATTCAAATGCCAGTATTGTGTAAAGAGTTTTAGTGAGAAAAGTTACTGTGAACGACATGAAAGGATTCACACTGGAGAAAAACCATTTAAATGCCAGTATTGTGAAATGAGTTTTATTGTCAAAGACAAGTGTATTCAACATGAAAGGACTCACACTGGAGAAAAACCATTCAAATGCCAGTATTGTAAAATGTGTTTTATTGTCAAAGACAAGTGTATTCAACATGAAAGGACTCACACTGGAGAAAAACCATTCAAATGCCAGTATTGTATAAAGAGGTTTAGTGAGAAAAGTTACTGTAAACAACATGAAAAGATTCACGCTGAAGAAAAGCCGTTTAAATGCCAGTTTTGTGGAAAGTGTTTTATTCAGAAAAGTAAATGTATACAACATGAAAGAACCCACACTGGAGAAAAACCATTCAAATGCAAGTATTGTGAAAAGTGTTTTATTGTAAGAAGTAATTGTATAGTACACGAAAGAAGACACACAGGAGAAAGACCATTCAAATGCCAGTATTGTGAAAAGAGTTTCATTGGCAATAAACACTGTAAACAACATGAAAGGACCCACACTGGAGAAGAACCACTCAAATGCAAATATTGTGAAAAGAGTTTTAGTGAGAAAAGAGCGTGTTTACGACACGAATGGATCCACACAGAAGGCCAGCTTTGTAAAAAGAGTTTCAGTGATAAAAGTAATTGTTTACATAATGAAAAAAGGATTCATGCTAGTTTTTCAGATCAGTCTATCAAGACAGAATTTCAAGATGAGGATATTTCATCTGGGACTAGGCTTTCACTTCAGTATGTTAAAAAGGAATTTCAAGATGAGGATTTATCACCTGGGACTAGGCTTTCACTTCAGTCTATTAAAAAGGAATTTCAAGATGAGGATATATCACCTGGGTCTAAGCTTTCACTTCAGTCTATTAAAAAGGAATTTCAAGATGAGGAATCAACTCTGGGGACAATGAAACAAAACCATTTTTATACCGAAGCTATAGTGAAAAAGGAGTCTAATGATAACATTGCCCCAAAAGTGAGATCTAAGATATATCCTGTTGCAATGTTTAGAAATGTTTTTACAGATGATGATGTATGATGTACACTTATACATATATTGTATGCTCTTTTATTTAATTCTGTGCAGTGTCTTTGAATATTGAATTCCTCCAAGCATTAACTTTCTCGCTGTCCGCTATTTGAAACTTAATTGTGGGATTTGATCAAATTCATTGTCAATGATTTAGCATGCCAACTAACTTCATACCCATCTTTAAAGTTACATATGAAAAGATTGTAGATTCCTGTAACAAATATAAGCCACCTCTATTAGTTTCTTATATGACTCAAAGGCCCCATTCAGAACAGGGGACTAACTAGTCCGAGGGTCAAATATGGCCGACCCACTTGAATGCTTCCCCATGGGAAATCTATTCAGTGTCTATTAGCAGATTAGACGGCAAGCTTTGTAGTGGGTTGCCATATTTGACTCTCGGACTAGTTTGTCCCCTATTCTGAATGAAGCCAAAGTCAACATGCCAAAAGATAAACAAAATTAAGAATTTTGTCAGCAGAAAAAGCATAAAAACTGTACCATCTTCAAATTTCTTGTAAGAAAAATATAGTGAAGTTTAAATTGTCTGTTTTACAACTTGTTAGTAACAGCATGTCATAGTCAGTAGTTAAATCAAGTTAGATTTTGGACTCAAGGGCCAATCAGAATGAGGAGAGCTGAGTGTCCGGAACCGCGCAAATTTAGATACAAACGTAATTTAGAATTAGGCTCGAAATACGGACACCGTTGGACACTTTTAGTTAGGATAACGCTTTAGTATAACCTTCCAGATTCGCGGTCGAAATCGTTACGTCTAAACGCTACAGAGGAAATCCACACTGACAAAAATGACCAGTTTCAATCGTTTAATGTGAACTCGTTGCCTGCTCAGGTACATTCTGACTCTCTATTCAATATTACAACCCTTAGTACGTACTCCAGCCAATGGCTTCATGCACTTCCTTATCACTGGCTTCTTAATGCGACAGGTAAACAAGCCCTACTCAGCCTCTTCAAAATTGACACAATGTATTATAGAGAATACAATTCACATATATGTCTCAAGATAAATAGACGTTCGTTTTACTATCTCTTTTTTTTTTTTTTTTTTTGTGTGTGTGTGTGTGTGTGTGTGTCTATAATATCTGCCACCCTGGTAGAGGGTACGAAAAACACCAAGAAGGGAATTTCTGCTCCAACGTCACTGGTCTGCTGACTGTAGTTGATCTGTGCGCCGCTAGAGGGACCCACGTGGCATAGAGGCTATTCAGAATGAGAAGAGCCGAGTGCTAGCTAGGTCACGGCCTAAATATGGCGGACCTACATGAAAGGAAGACCGCTTAATCCTGTAATGGTCTCTCCGCCTCTCTCACGGCTCCCCACGCGTCGTCCCTCGACCGGTTGAATTGAGCCGAGATTTAATTACTGTGCCCCTGCATATATGACCGTAGATATTTAATAACCGGTTATGATTGAATAAAAATAAAAAAAAACTCAGAATAGGGATGAATAATTAAAAAGCAAATGAAACAGGAAAACATTAAAGCAACAAATTGGATCAATGGAAACCGAGATGCTGGGATCACATACTCCTTTAGAACGAGATCTGTTCTCAACGATAAACGGTTCTTGTCTTCGAAATGGGGACTTTCTTATTTTGGGCGATTTTTGCTTTGGCGTAAAAACTGAAAAAGAGGAACCTTGCTTGCATCGCCTGTGGAAATAGGGCTATGCGTACGGTATGAGAGAGCTGAAAAGTGTATAAGCTAGATGAGACGGCAAGGGCCCGCCTATTTATAAAAATAGAGTGCTCGTTGTGTTTTATGAATGCGCTGAGTTGCATTTTATCCTCTTTTTTCAGATATATTAAATTCCGGTTTGCCTGCTCAGCATCGTAGACGGCAAAGTTTTCCCAATTTACTGCCACGGAAAAAACGAAAACGAACGAACGTGGGCCAAGACAAGGTTTGCAAGCAGATGACTGCAGGGGCGGATTTAGGCCGTCTTCTGGGTCTTACGGAAGACGGTCATATTTTTAGTAACCATTGACGGGTATCTATTTTTTTCTGTAGCCATTTTTAATACTTAGTGGCATAGCCACGTGACCTAATAATAGGTGCCAGTCTACGAAGCAAGAATTCATATAATATTGTCTGATGCGTTCAGGGCTTATGCTGGCCCAAGCATGAAACACTGAATATAACAGAGTTTCTCTGCTGGTTAGACGGGCATTTGTCCAAAGTTTTGACATATCATTCCAAACATTTTCTATTATGTTTGCATCCGGACTCTGGGCAGGCCACATCACCCTGCGAATGTCCTGTTGGTCAAACCAATCATCAACTGCTCTGGTCCTGTGACAAGGAACATTGTCATCCTGGTGAACAAATGGATAATTCCTGTCATCAAACATGTTAGTAATAGATGGTAGCAAGCCTGACTCTAAAACATCGATATATTTCTAGTGATTCATGTTTTCATCAACCACAATCAATTCGCCCACGCCATGGATGCTGATGCAGTCCCACACCATGATGAATATGCTGCTCCGGGTTCGAAAATTCAGTACATGTGGTTCAAATGCTTTACCAGCAGTTCGCCAGCATCGTACCCGTCTGTCATAAGAGGTCAGACCAAAGCGACACTCATCAGAAAAAAATATATAGGACCAATTGTCATGGACTGTCCAGTTCCAGATCCTGTTGACCCTAGTTCACTCTACGTTGCCTGTTTTGTAACGATATAAGAGGTTTCAATCTTGCTACCCTGCTGTACATTCTATGAGCATGTAACCGACGCCTAGCAATTTTCACAGACACATTCTTATGTGTGAAATTGTTCCACTGTGTTGTCAACTGACAAGCAGTGTCTAACTTTGACAACCTGGACATCAAAATCAGTCGTCGGTCTTCACGGCCAGTAGTTTTTCTTGGACGACCCATCAGAGGCCATTTGTCTCTTGATCCAGTGTTTCTATACCGAGACCAGACCCTCTGCACGGTTCTGACTAAACAATTCAATTGTATCGATATACTGACATTGCTTATATTCCGCCTCTTCAGGTTAATAACTTGCACCTATAACCGTTAGATAATTGCCTGTATCTTGCCATATTGGAGGAAGACAGGAATAACATTTGCTGTACATGTACAAGACCAACAATACAATCCCATGGTACAGCGGTTTTATACTCATTAGTCACATTATAAGTAGACCAGGCATTATAATTAACCAAGATCTGCCTACTTTTATTACTCTGAGTTAGGGGGTGACACTTCTTTTGTCCAGTGTGTGTAGTTGGCGGTGCTGCTCTCTCGACAGAGGCTTCCTCAGAGGCCGTCTTGCATAGCCTAGTAGAAGTTTTGTTTCATTATCTGAAGGTTTTATGATAATATATATCAGCACAGTGCATGCATGTTTTTCATTTTTTTCTTTTGAATTCGGTTAGAATACTAGTACTTGGCCGATTTTGATAGTTTATCTATTCACTTTCCATCTATTCAATTGTATTCTAATAATGAGTTGATTTATCTTATTTTAATAAGATTTAATAACATTTAAAAATGTTTACATTATGGTGGACTGGTGTAGTATTTTATGGTCGTTTTACGCGGTTTTTGGATGGATTAATATAATTAACAGATCAAATATGACAGCTGACCGTTAGCAGAGATGATGCCCGTACAGTTTGTAGATAACATGTATTATTGGCGTTACTCTCATAAATGACTATTAAATTTATTTGTATATATGCCAGTTTCAATTGCATTATTATTGCCATTTCTGAGGTGCTGAAGATTAAGCACGCACAAGCTAGTGCGCGCGCGAGCACACACGCACACACACACACACACTCACACACACAATCTGCTAAGCTACCGATTGCAGCAGAGAAGATCATTTCTGTTCCCCTCCAGATGGCGCTCAAGAACGGTTTGGTTTGTCAATCTTGGCAAAAACTGCTCAGATTGCCGCATGCAGTAGACCATATAAGGATTGCCAGTGACCTACATAATACCATTTTTACTTTGGGGTGTGTAAGGATCTGAAGGTTAATTTAATTAATTTAATCTAGTGTATTGTGAAATATGCGGGAAACAAAAGTTTTCTGTGCATTGCTATTTCAGCACATTGTTAATCAAATTTTGTCTGTCAAATTTTGGTAATCGATAAGTATAAAGGGCGGTCACCTAGCTCTTCCTGCCTTCTACCCCGATGGATCATTTGAAACCCGAACCGTTGGATGAGATGTCACTTCTTCTTCTTCCGTTTTGAGTGACCAGGGTATGGATGCCAGGCGGGCAAGATACTAAGTATATGGATATTTCAGTTTTAACGTTTCAAGACGATGGTTTTAGGTATTTGTCTAAAACTTAATGTATTCTTGATGCATTTTAAAAATTGTTTTGATGCCAGCATGTTAAACACTGGGATTTGCCTTCCTGCAATATTTTCCCCACGTGATATTTTGTGTCCTCCATGTCTCCTTTATTTCATCACGTACCTTGCGACAGTGAAAATTGCAGTTGTGCCTCATGTTAACTACACGGAATTTAACACTACATTGGTAGAATTAGTAGTGACGGTAAAGTTTTACATGCGAAATGGTCAAGATGGGGAAATTTTTGTGGAATGGCTCCTTTACAATTTTGACTGTTGAAATTTAGTCAGTGGTTTTAAATAAAACTGTCATAATTGTAGTACGGCAAGATTGACAAAATTGAAATTTAAAGAACAGGATAAAGTTTTAGTGATATACTTTCTCATTTTGGCACGATTTCGCAAATGACACCATGATATGTAATATTTCGATCCTTTGAAGTATGTGACCTAGTAAATAGTTACTTCTTTTCGCGTGACAGATTATGAAAGCAGCCATCTTCAAGGCATAGGGGGCAAATTGCTAGTGCCAATTTGCAAGTAATGTTTGAACGTAATTTAATATTTCTCATTTATGCCTTATGTAATTATCACGTTGTCTAATCAAAACGCTCTGTACAAAGCAATTTACCATGGCTTGTTACCTCCAAATTTTTAAGCCTTTTGTAAAAAGTAGAAACGCAGCATATTTTACATCATTCATTTGTAACAAAATTAGTTTTATTTCCCCTTATGCCTTTAAACAGGTTTTACTACAATTATGAGTTTGTCTCCGCGACGTTTGTATAACTATTTGCGGTATTCTTCAGCAAGGCAGCAAGTTGTTACCTGACGTTTATTTCAATGCAAATATAATGCTAAAAATTCAGAAAACTTTCATAGTCCAGGGCCCCGTAACTCGAAAGCATCGCGCATTGCGACCGAGCACAAGCGTCCCGATTCCATA